AAAAAAAAAAAAAAAAAAAAACCAGGGCTGGCCAAGTAGCTCAGCAAATTGAAGTGCCTTCAGGCAGGCATAGGGGCACAAGGTTCGATCTCCAATCCCCAGGCCTGCCATGCTGACCCTGCCCATGGGGTATGCTGAGACGGGGCATAGTGGCACACGCCTGTAATCCTAGCTCGTGGGAGGCTATAAATAGGCAGATCACTATGAGTCCAATCTAATAGTGAGACCCTGAACATGCTGTAGACCCTTCCCTAAAAATACAAAAAAGAAAAAGAAAAAAAGAAAAACATTAGAAACAATAAAAAATTTCATTAAAAAAAGTAATAGGAATTTGACAGTTGTTGCTCCATTGCATAAAGTTATCTTCAAATTAGTTGTTTAGCCAGGCAGACACTAACTGGCAAACTAGTAAACAATTTTTTTTTAAGTTATAAGAAATTAAACAGAAGAAAATTAGATAAATAAAATTTAAGAATTAACTGGTCTTTCCAATAGATGAGCAGAAATCAGCAGTACCATTATCCAAGCTATATTCATATACACACGAACATTTTTCCCTTTTTTCCTGCATAGTTCAGTGGTTAAGAGCATGTTCTTGGCATGTGAAAACTCAATTTTTTTTTAATGAACAATTTGTCCTTTGATCTTCTCTCCGTAGATTGTTCTCCTCTATTCCTCTGTAGGCACAGCTACGGGGCCTACTGTTAAGTGGATATCAATTTGTGTCTATGAATTCATGCATGTTTCCTTGTCTGGTTCTCATAACTAGGTGAGGCAGACACACTCTAAAACCAAATATCGTAATTTGAAAAAAGTTAATAACCATGTAATTTTTCATTGATAAAGTCAGAAGTCAACAAGGTAGATCTATCTGCTGCCAGATCACATGACTTGAAGCATGGCATCTAGCCCTCATCCCAGTCCAGAAGTAGACAAAGTATTTGTCTGAGTGGAATATACTCAGATGCTAGAACACCGCTATGAGAGAGTAGAGGACAGGAAAGGAGTTTGGGCTGCCCCTGTTTGATCCTTTCCCAATGTCAAAGCTGTAACCTCCAAGTTTCAGTTTGGGCTACAGAACAGCTCTCCTAGCCTCTAGACCTGACCTCCATGAGCTGATCCTGTGTCCATGCTTCCAAATCCTAGCTAGTTCTATAATTAAGTCCTAAAGTGGGAATATCCCTAACCACATCATGCCTTCATGGGAAACTAACGATAGGTGTGGAAGTCTTGGAGAAAGCCCATTCAGTTACTCTAAGAGCTGACCCTAACTCACCCTCTTCTGAGCCACTGTTAATCCCATTTCCAGTTGTTCCAAAGGCCTTGTCTCTATATTGTTGATATATATCTATATTGTTGTATGAGAGATTTAAAAATGATGGCTGAGTTTTCCACATAGCCACTTAGTGGCATCTGCAATTTATCACCTAAGGATTTTGAGGTGGTTAAATAGATTTTAAATAGAATTCAAAGCGAACTAAACCTCCTTCCCTACCTTAAATCAACTGTGGCATCCATAAAGAAAATCTCAAGTTGGTAACACTTTAGAGCTGTCAAGAAGGTCTGACAATCATATAGCACTTAATATTTCCTGGACTTAGGCTTTGTCCTATAGCAAATCCTTCTCAAGGTAAGGAACGTGTAAAGAATGCTAACTAGACATGCCATAGGGCCAGCCAAATAGCTCAGTGGATTAAAGCACCTGCAAGCAGATGCAGGGGCCAGGGGTTCAATCCTGAGCCTGGCGGCCTGCCCCTGGGGTGTGCTGAGAGGCAATTGAGACTGGGTGTGGTGGCACACACCTGTAATCCCAGCTCTTTGGAGGCTGTAAACAGGTGGATCACTATGAGTCTAATCTAGTACTGAAACCTTGAATACCCTGTAGACCCTTCACTAAAACACACACACACACACACCATAAAAGAAATTTGCTATCCATTTAAACCAAAGCCTACATAACTCGGCTTTACCTGCTTTACACACATGAAGTGCTCAATAAATAATTAGCAAATGCACATTTTCCTCAATTGCTTTAAGAACAAAATAGAGTGTTCAGTGGAAAAGGTGTTATGCAAAGTAGTACAAGTTTATTGGGCTTCCAAATGCTCCCCAATAAAAGCATGTGAATTCTTAAGCAAGACAAAAATTTCTTAGCTGTCTCAAAGAACTTACTGCATGATCCTTTTTATTAGACAATTTGCCAAAAGATAAAATAAAATACAAGTTAAAGTGTACTAAATTTAAAAGTTTCAGGAGCTAAGAAGGTGGCTCAATGACAGAGCACTTGCATGACATAAGGCAAGACCTTAGGTTTTGCATGATAAAATGGGGCTGTGGGCTCCACATGCAAATCTTTGGGAATTCCATAAGAAGAGATCATTGTAAATCCATCTAGCTACCCTCCTCAAATAAAAGAACGAAGTGGAGAAGGGAGGACAAGCTACAGGCTGGGGAGGAGGCGGGAAAAATACAATTCAAATATACTTTGTACAGGTAGAAATATAATGAATGTGACCCATATGTATGACAAACATGTACTAATAAAAAATAAATTTAAAAAATAAAAACAAAAGAAAAATAATGTTTAGAATGACAAAAACAGCTCCAGGTGGTTTCCTGCTCTTCCCCATCCATGTATCTCCTGTGTTAGTCTAGCTAGTTCGTGTGTGTGTGTGTGTGTGTGTGTGTGTGTGTGTGTGTGTGAAAGAGAGAGAGAGAGAGAGAGAGACAGAGACAGAGACAGAGAGAGACAGAGACAGAGAGAGACAGAGAGAAGAGAAAGAGAAAGAGAGAGAGAGATCAGAAAAAGTACCAGCACTCCCAGAAAATCTTCATTTCCCATACCAAGAAATACTCTGTTTACGTGTTTGCCATTGAAGCAACCCACTGCATTATCATTCCATATTTATGCGTCTTTCACTCAAGTAAAAAGTTTTTGTTCAGGAAAAGAATCATCTTTGCTCTTTAATCAGCTCTATTTATCTAATGTTGGAACATGGCTATTTCTCAATAAGTATTTGTAGAATAAATGAGCATATCAGATACATAAAAACTTACAGATCTTAAGGTGTGGCTGGTGACCGCATGGAGATAAATCTAGTCTGAAAGTTTAAATGGAAGTGGCAGTCTTAAACAGTTTCAGGGCTCAATGACTTTGATTACAGCCTGGTGGAGGGGTACACAGATGACATCAGGTAACAGGGGAAAGTATGAATCCAGCATCAGTGCTGGCAAAGGAATTCCAAATGAGGGGGAGCAATTGATGGTATGTGGTAGAGATCATGATCACAGATGCAAGTACAGAGAAACATGAAAATAACTCTTAGGAGGTTTGGGCCCCTTGATCAAGGAAGGATCTTGTCTCTGATCTAAATGTAGACTTTTCCAGCTGTCACAAAGCATTACCATATTGGCATCTCCAATGGCCCCTGAGTAGTGTAAGACTAGTGTCTGTCACTCTGACATTTCAGTGCCATCGACAAGGACTGTGTCTATGTTACGAAAACCAAGAATAACCTTCTTATAAAGCAGATGTAGCAGAAGATTCTCAAAAGGAGACTCTTACCTGCTGGTTCTGATAGGCTGTAACTGTGGTGAACACAGTCTCAGGAAAGTTGAAGGTTTTCACACCATCCCCCACAGGGACAGGCTTGGTGGGGGAAAGGTCACTGCTGAAGTCCTTGCGGATCACGTGAACGCGAGGCTGGTATTTATGCATAGAGTGCAGAATAATCTGAAATGAGAAGAAGAAATGTAGTAGGCTTGACTTCAAGGTCCCTATATCTTTTCAAGTTTTCATGCAAAATAAATCACAAGACAGAAGCATTGTGGGAATATTCAGGATTGGGGGTAGGATGTACAAGAAGCTGCAAGTTAGTACATCTGCCCCTTGGAGGAAGAATTAAATCAATGGATGACATTGCATGGAAATATATAGTAGGATATCCCTATTATAAATGGTAGGTAAAATATATCTGTTTTAATTTGAAGACTATTGAAAGACTTCTAGTATTAGATGATATATCCACCTGAAAGTTCTCAGGACTTCTACAAGGACTCCCTCCCAGATGTAAATTTTTAGCATGGTGTATTTAAATTCTACGAGCTATTATTTGCACCTGTCTTTTAATTTAAGAACATTGTTTACATTATCTGACTGTGAGTTGTATACATATGTTCTCACTTCATCAGAAAACTGTCGTTTCTAGGAGAACCTATACTGTAACATCCTGCAACTCAGTGGTGTCCCAAATTTTCTGATCAAGGAGATTATGGGGCCACAGAACAAAGTGATTGACAATGTAGAGGGTGCCTAAGGAGAGTCATATGGAGAGAAAACATTCTTTCAGGCTTTCACAGAGAAAATTGGTCAAGCAATGGCCGTGACTCATCCACATGGCTGACACTAACAAAAGAACTACAAAGTGTGGTACAGGGTTTCAGGGTAAGTCCTGAGGGGATTTGACTGACCTTGTCAGATACAAAAGTTACAATTTTTGTTATAAAGGTCTTGCTTTATCCTGGTCTTAACTGTCCAGCAGAAAAGTATAAAATCAAGGTATAAAAAGTAAAGCCATGTTAATATGCTGAACTGTAAAAGGCTGAAGTCAACAACTTCTGACACTGCCAGGCTTGCGGATAACACACTACTATTATAGACTACTGGACTATATTGGATTATTCTGCTGAATTCATGCACCTACAATATATGAATGGCAATGGAATACACATCTCTGAGAAAAGTAAACAAAAAAGGGATATAAATTGACCATTTTGTAGTGGAAAAAATATATATCTGTATATACAAAATAGCATAAATATACAGCTACTTTCTTTTAGTTCAATGAGAAGGTTTTGAACTAAAAGTGTTTAGACAAGATATCACGTCTGCATCTTGTACTAGGAATAATTACTACAAAGACAACAATATGCAGTGTATTAATGATTATAACTGTGCTAGTAACCTGTTTTTAAACTATCTCATTGCTACTTCTTTTTCAATAATACTATTAAAATATTAAAAAATGAAAACTGTCATTTCCTTGACTATAGAAGCCATGATTTTGGCTTCTTCATCATTTCTTAGTGCTTGGCATTAATGAAAATTCAGTGCATATTTTATTATCAGAAATGAATAAATAACATCAGTTGTTCCAATTATAACCAAAGAGTCATGAGACTTCATCTTCGTGAATTTATAAATTTCTTAACAAATCAGCCACAATGTCATTTTCATTTCCCTTAGTGTATGTTGTGTGAGTTATTTTACTGAATATTGGGATTTCTTTCACCTTTGGTTAGTTTTTCTTGCTTGTGTTTCTTTCTTGCCTCTATGACTGGACTTCAAGGCCTTGCAGCAAACATATTTTGTTTAATAAACACACAGGAGATGTTTGCTCAACATTAGACTTGTAATAAGTTACATTGAACTTTTAGGATTATTTACTTAAAATGACATAAAGTGGCCTAGAAATTTTAATTTTATCTATTTGCAAAAGCCTAGGGCTATAAGGAGAGTCACATGGGGAGAAGACACTCTCTCAGGCTTTCACAGAGAGCACACTGGCCAAGCATTGGCCGTGACTCATCCACATGGCTGACACTGACAAAGGTTCTACAATCTGAGGTACAGGATCTCAGGATAAATCCTAAGGGCATTTCACTGACCTTCTCAGACCAAAAAGCTACAACTCTTGTTGCACAGGTCCTGCTTTACCTTGGTCTTAACCATCCAGTAGAAAAGTATGAAGACGAAATATAGGAAGTAAAGCCATGTTGTTATGTTGAGCTGTGGGGGACTCAGGTCAATAATTTCTGACACTGCCAGTTAAACAGAAGACCCATTGCTATTATGGGCTATTGGACTCTTTTAGAATATTTTGCTGAGTTTACACACCTATAATATTCAATAACGGAACTTAAAAAAATGGGATATAACTATGAATGTCCATTTTGTATGTGTGTATTCAAAGTGGTTGGGATAGATATATAGTTGCATTCTCTTAATGAATAGAATGATTTTTTCTAATGGTGTTTGTAAGTAGTATCACAAGTCTGCATCTTGTACAGCAATTAACCACTAAGAAGAATATATGCAGTGTATTATTTGTTGAAACTGTACTCTCGATTTGATTTGAAACTGTCTCATTGCTATATGTTTATCAATAAAACTTTGAAAAGAAAAAAAATAAAAAAATAAAAATAAAGCCTAGGGCTAGTCAGCTCTAAAGTAAAAAGGGGAAGAGGATCAAAGAGGAATATGAGACTTTAACTCACATGTCCTTGATCATCCAATTCATTGTTGGTCAGCTTGAGTTTGTCAAAACTGACCACCTGTCTCATCCAGGTATCTCCAGAAGCTAGAGAATCGGGGTGTATGTAGACCCTCGGAGGCACAGGGGAATCGGCATTGCCCGCTACCATCCACTTGGAGCTGTGGTACACATACCTAAAATAAGAATAGAGGATTCAAAAACAAAAGCAGAGAGAAAAGCAAAGATCCAGCAAACCAGTGGAGACAAAGAGATGATAAGAATGGAGAAGTAAGGAAAGAAGCCACCAAGATGGAGCACATAAGTGAGAAAAGCGATGGCAGATGATGAGGGAAAATGAAATAGAGATGAAAATGGGCAATGGGGCCAAGGGGGAGGACAGGGAGGCATTGTGTTAATGATCAAAGCTACGGCCTTCACAGGGAAAGCATTTTCACAGTCCTTTTCCTTTCTTCTGCCTCTCTTTGCCGCGCACCCCTGTGTGCACACAGGCATGCTGAGCCCACGTGTGTAGCTAAGACAAGGGTATTTTACTGCAACCTTTCACCTTTCAAATGCAAACCATATAATCTTTTGGCCACTTGTTCAGGATTTTGCTCCTTATTAAAAACATCTTCCATATTGTCCTATAAAATGTAGCCATGTGCAGAGACCCTCCAAGCCTCTTGCTTGTTAACCGTTTCACTGCTGCAAGTCTGGATGCAGACATTTTGGTGAGAGCGGAAGGTCCTTGACTTAGTGCAACAATTCCCAGAAGACCACTAAGTGCTCTCAGCTAGCCCTTTTTCTCTTAGGTCTAGTTTTGAAATGCACCATCTTCCACACTTTTTCCCACGAAGTCACTAGGCATGAGATGTTCCTGGTAGCAGAAGTCAAGTTTTCAGACATCACCAACTTTCCCACAATTCCAAAGAGCCATCTTTCCCATTGCTAAGTTTTGAAGGATCTCAGGGGACCTGCATCCCAGCAAACAAACACACTCTGTCCAAATGAAACTCCCTACAATTCAGAACATGTCTCTCTCAGCCCACTCTCTCCCACTACCATATAAGCCCTAGCCTTCTCTATCTATTTCTCACCTTCAAATTCATAGATTCAGGGCCAAATTTGCAGATTCTAATCATTTCAAAAATGATGCATTATTAACTGATTTGGCTGATATCTCAAGAGAGCAAATAAACATTTTTTGTGATCAAATAAATCATAACATTTTTGTAAGAACCACATATAAGCCATCCAAGAGACCTAGAGATTACCCTGATTTTTAACGACTTTGAGATAAAATTATTTAGAAAATTTCAGGCCAGGGAGATGGTTCAGTAGAATAAGCACTTCCCTGGCAAGTGCAAGGGCCTGAGTTCAATCCCTGGTTCCACAAAAAAAAAAGAAAAAGAAAAAAAGAATATTTCATCACGCCCAAATTTAAGGTAATATTTCTCCCAAATGAGATACTCTTCTAGAAGTCTTACCTAATTCTCTGTACACCAGGTTGGGCATATAGATTGGGCGTACTCAACTGATTTAGTTTTAAATATACTAATCACTTACAATGTTGACTAATTAATTTTAGGTTCAAGATCTATTTAACCGTTGCTGCCCTGGAAGGCATTATAGCATCTCAGTCTAACCAGAGGCATGAGGAAGACTGAAGATCAAACTGTTCCTGAGCCTGATCTCTGTCTCTAATTGCTCCATCCTGCTTGGTTCTGGGCCACAATCCATTGGCACATGCTTTCTTTGTTCTCTGTGCATGGTACAATATTAAAACACTTCCCATAGTGAGTAAAAAAACTTTTGAAATACTAAGGATGCTCACAATTCCATTTCACAGAATCATTCTTACCTGTATCTTTTATTGTCTACCGGCACAATGTCCATTGCTATGTAGTACTGCTGGTGTGGATCCAGGCCAGTGATTTTTACTCTCATAGCAGGAAACATCCTCCTGTGGGAATAAGGCAATAATGAGGCAGGAGAGGGGAGAAGTAGTGGAGTAAAATCCACAAGAGTGTCTTGTTATTAGGTCCTCCAAGAATATATTAAAGTCCAATGTCCTATAATTCTTAACATGGGCTGATGCTTTAGAAATTATATAAATTGTAGTGGAGACTTCTATTGCTGAAATAGCATCTCTTCATAATATAAATTGAGCCATTTAATGGATCCTACACTTAAAGGACTCATATCATAGCCTGCCTTATATTTTAGCTTAACTTTTAATGTAACATATATAGTATATATAGGTATGCGAATAAGTGTGTCTATATATAAATTACCTATAATCTTTTTAAAGGTAGACACAATAATTTATACTCATTACCTGGGAAATTATCAGTTCATAGTAAGTGATTATAAAATATTTTGGCTGATTAAGTTTATTTGAAAAGACCACTGTAAAAAAAATCTATTAAGAAAAATAAGAAAAAACATAAAGGAGCTACTAGTCCCCTAAAAAGGGCAACCAAAGTTTTTTTTTTTTTTCAGTGCATTAGACTGCAGAAAAAATTCTGCAAATTCTCAGGCTGTCAACGTGTGTGTCAGAGGAAGGACCCTGAGGAATAGGAAGCAAATTCCAAATGAATTCTAGTGGCCTCTGGGCAGTACCTTGTTTCTACCACAATGCTTGTTAAACTTGCCAAAGCAAGTGAGGTCAGGATGTGGCACTTTACAACTTCTCTCATAATTGAAGAGAGGAGGAGAGGGAGCAGCCCAAAGAGGTATTGAGTTTCAACAAGTCCAGAATAAAGCTCACCATTCTTCTTTATCCATAAGGAAAAAAAAAAAAAAGAAAAAGAAAAACATCAAGCTCTTTAGCATCAAGCCAGACATTTAAAATATGCACAACGCAGAAACTTGGGTTGCCCTGAATGAGCTCTAGAGTACTTGTACACAAAACACTGCATTAAGCTTGGCCATCTGGGGCTAGTTAGTTGAGCTGGGCAGAGCACAGTGCTAATGAGGTCAAGGTCAGAGGCTTGATCCGCATATGGCCTAATTGGCTCTGCTCCATTTCACAGCCGTAGACCATACACTGACCTCAGACAGCCATCTTGCAAATGTGTACTCATTGATTGCGCAAGAGGCTTTCTCTGAAAATCACACATTCACTACTTATCTGGGAAAAGCAACCCAAGAAGAAAATGTCCCCTGGCTCAAGGTCAGTGATATCATCATTAGTTTGGAGAGAAACAGGAGCTAGCACAGACCTTTAATATGGATAATGGCTAATTCTTAAATAATTGCAAATAATAATTAATATACAACATTCTTCCTTTTCCATTTTATTCTTTTCAGAAGCTTCTGTTAAGCTTCTGTAAATCCTTTTAGATTTTTTTTCTCTCCCTCCCTTATGCTTAATTTGAAAGTCTTACGCTTTGGTTTTATGGAAAGTTAATGAAGTGTAATGGTTGGTCACTTTTAATGACTAAGTCTGCCTTCACTATAGGTAAGGCAAGGCACTTTGATTCACTTTCATTCTTTTCAAAACTTACAACTTACAATACTTATAAATCTTGGTCTATAAATTTAAATTCAGATCAACAATTACTTTGTTAATGCCAATTCCAATTGTTCTGCATGTATAAATGATTGAGAAGCATCTTCAAAAAAAAAAAAAAAAAGCATCTTCCCAGCAATAAAAAGGAATTTCTTTCCCATACTACTTGTGTTAAGAAAATGTGGTTCTTCTCAGCCACCCCCAGATGCTGCATTACATTGAAAGAGATGAATTTTTTTCAGGATGACTTCTAAAACATGGGCTTTAATGTTTTTAAGTTAAATAACTGTCTGGGACAGTTATATTACTTTCTTGAAGAGGATACCTCATCTCTTTAGTGAGAAATGTGACTATGGATAAGTCATTTAGCTCTATCGCTGTCACTTATCAATCAAGAAAAAGGAAAACATAATCTTCATGGTGTTCCACAGCTTCAAAATTCTAAGTTTGAATTTTCTTAAAAACTTTGAAATCATTTTTCTTTTTGTTTGGGAGGGGCCAATACTTTATCACAGGCTATCAAATGAATTCATACCATTCTGTACAAGAAATAATTAATTTAATTACATTGCTAAATTTACAAAAGTTCTTTTGGTTTTCCAAGTCATTAATCCCTATAAGCATCTCTGTCCATGGTGCTGACTACAGAGATTGTGCTGGTACATTCAAAATGCAAGGGCTATAAGGACTGCAGTGGTCCTAAATCACCACAACTGCAGTTTGGGATGTGTGAATAAGCAGATGGTGACAAAGATCTTCTAAGTGGTCAGAGAGAGCAGAGAAACAAAGGCAGCATAACTAACAAAAAATGAAAATTGGAATTGTGTGAAAAGGACCTTTAAGTGAGAAGAATGAAACCCACTAGGGAAAAAGAGGAATGAAGAAAGTTGATAGAAGAGAAAGCCTCTATTTTCAGTACTAGAAATTGAATCAAGGTGTTTACACTGAAATACATCTTCAGCTCCATTTATTTCTTATTTTGGGACAGTCTTATTAAGTTGCTCAGTTGCTCAAACTTTTGATGCTCCTGTTTCAGCCTCCTAAACAGCTGAACCTATAGGTACACATCACTGTGCCCAGCTATGTAATCTTTTAGGATTTCTCTACACTGTCCTAGAATTATCTGAACAATATTTTAATGCAACAACAGTAACAGCTAAGGTAATATAATACAGAAATGCAATGTAGCTTCTAAACCTAAATAAGGGACTTCAATGTAAGCAAAAAATAAACTGTGAGTCTGTGTAGAAAATATGTGAACTTGGAGAACAAATTTCCCAAGATCAAGGTGAACTTGGAAAAAGAAATATGTAGAAGAAATTGAGAAATGAGTCACCAGAGAGTTAGCAGGTAGATGTTTAAATGTATTGAACTCAGAATTGCAGGAATGAGTGAGTTCTGTCAGCAATAAGGATTACTGGAGCACAGAGACCCAAAACCATGGTAAAAATCCAAAATAAAACTAGAAAATTTCATAGACAAAAGTTATAATGTTTTGTCTCTTTTCAAAAAAAAAAGAGACCTTTTCTTTGAAGTACTTTGCTTTCTTCTACACCTTGCCACCATGAAATGTAGAAGAGAACACTAAAATCCAAACAAAAAGAAAGAGATGGTACTCAAAGTAATTCAATTGAATAAGTAAGTTTGCTTATTCAAACTTTTTGTACTTAAGAAACCCTTTTGAGGCTGGGGAGATAGATCAGTAGAATAAGCACTTGCCTGGCAAGCTCAAGTTCCTGAGTTCAATCCCCAGTACCAAATAGCTCAGTGGATTAAAGCATCTGCAAGGAGACACAGGGGCCAGAGGTTCAATCCCTAGGCCTGCCATGCTTGTCCCACCCCCAGAGAACACTGAGCCAGCAATTGAGACTGGGCATGGTGGCGCGTGCCTGTAATACCAGCTCTTTGGAGGCTGTAAACAGGCGATCACTATGAGTCCAATCTAGTAGTGAGACCTTGAATAACCTGTAGACCCTTCCCTAAAATACAAAAATAAAAAGAAAGAAAGAAAGAAAGAAAGAAAGAAAGAAAGAAAGAAAGAAAGAAAGAGAAACCCTTTGATATTTTTTTTCACTGCTATAAGTTAGAAAGGAGGAAGAAGTAAAGCCATGCTGTTATGTTGAGCTGTAGGGGACTCAGGTCAACAATTTCTGACATTGCCAGTGAATCAGAAGACCCAATACTATCATGGACTACTGGACTGTTTTAGAATATTTTGCTGAGTTAACACACCTATAATATTCAAATAATGGAACTAAACAAAAAACGGGGATACAGATGAAACAGATGAATGTCCATTTTGGATCTGCGTATTCAAAATGGTTAGCATATATAGATATATAGTTACATTCTCCTAATGATTGGAGGGATTTGTTCTTATAGTGTTTATAAATAGGATATCATGTCCACATCTTTTACAGCAATTAACCACTAGGAAGAATGTATGCAAGGTGTTAATTATTGAAACTGTCCTACCAATTTGGCTTGAAACTGTCTCATTGCTATTTGTTTCTCAATAAAATTATGGGGAAAAAATTAGAGAGGAGAGTTCCAGAAAACTTTAGGTTCATTTTATTTTATGTTTTTAAAGGGATTTACAATTCTTTTTTGTGGTACCAGGAATCAAACTCAGGACCTTGCACTTCCCAGGCAAGCACTTATTCCACTGAGCCATCTATCTCCCTGGCCCTTTAGGTTCATTTTAATCTCACATTTTTGTGATATCTTACTATACATGAATATTTCTTCATATGCACATAGACCATCAAGGTATTCTTTTACTTTAAAAAGCCATGTTCATGCAAACAGCTTATTAGCAATGTGGTGCACACCAGTTCTTGAAAATATAAAGGTAGCATAATTGTTTTGCTTATTTGCTTTATTTGTACTAAAACCTAGTCCAAATTTAGTTTTGTCTAAATGATTTTTATTTTCAATCCATAGGTCAATAATTACAATCACTTCTTTATAATTATACCATCAGTAATAATGAAGAGTTCTAAGTGGGGAATACTAGTGTTTTTGAGCCACACACACTTATGTAGAACTCGTGAGTTTCTTCTTACTACTCCTGTGACTTCATGAAGTTAATAGATATTTTTCAGCCTTTGCATCTTCCTTCATATATGGGAAAATTAAATCTCACTTTACAGGATTTCTATGAAGTTTAAAGGCTATAGTATACAGTGAGTATCCAACACAATACAGGTATCTAACATTGGGGAACTGAAAGAAGCCAATAAAGGAGCAGTTTAACAGAAAGTACATATTTCAAGAAAAAAAAATGTGCTTTTAAAACTTTTCTTGTCCTGGATAAGTAGTATTACAGTAGATTCTACAGATTACCATTAAAGTTTTATAATAATGTTATACCAACAATAAGATATAATGGAGTTACCAGCAGGGCTCAGAAGATACACCACCTCCAGTTTTTATGAAAGTACTGGTTGCTTTAGATGTTTTAGAAGATGTAAACTATTATTTGGGAAGAAATTTTTGTAAATATTGGATGGAAGGATAAATACTTGCAATCTTTACATACTGAGATAACAATAGGCCTCCAAAACTACCTAAAACACATTTGTAGATGGAAAGCATTTGTGAGGATAGAAGTGACTTAGATTTGAGTACTTTGAAGGAAATAGCAAAAGCACAGTAAACACCACAGAACCACATGACCGAGATGTCCAAATGCAGAAAAGTCAACTGCAACTTGCTTTGGCCTCAGTGAGCTACCACCAGAAAATGCAGGGGAAATTTAATGCCTCCTCCTTTCAGACATTCTTCGAGTTTGGTCCTCAGAGAAACTTCTCACCTGCCTGCCTTGGTGATGATCATTTCAGTCCCGATGTCATGGAACCTCTTCCAGAGGTCAGCACACTGTAGCTCCACCTGAATCTCCTCCATGGACGACATGGCAGCAGGCACGGGGCCTGCAGTGCCCGCCGCCAGCTCACTGTGCGTGCTGAAGGAACAGGAGGTCCGCTCAGTAAGCACCTCAGAGTCCGAACCAGTGCTCTGCTCAGAATCTGCAAGATAAACAATCCTTGGGTGAGAAACCAGCGGGCCATGAAAGATGGAGGACAGGGGCGTACAGCAGAGCGGCGAGGGAGAACAGTGAACAAAAAAAGAGGCTTGAAGGTGGGAAGCTCCAGAATATCGCACTCAGGGAATTTTATTATTTCCTTTCTGGTTTGTTTTTGTGATTTATGGCCTTCTTTCAGGTTTCACATTTCCAACATGACATCTGGCATTTTAGTAAGTTTTAGCAAGAGCTGAAGAAAATTGGTTCACAACAGGCAATATGAAGAATACTAATGTCTCCGTGTCAAAGGGAATGAGGCCAATCTGGGTTGAGAGGAATAAACAGCAAATTACGGGAGAATAACAATTGAAGACTGCAATTGAAGTTGTTTGGGATCTCTAGAAGCACTTTGTCACATACTTGAGTAAATGGTTTTTCCTAACAGTCCAATCAGTCCATTTTTGATGTGGGGTGGGGGGGACACAAGGCAAGCATATAAGCATATGGAAAAAGTTACTTGAGAAGGCAATTGAAACAAAGGGAATAAATGAGCACAGGAGACACCTTGATTAGTTTCTGAAGTATGGGTAAAGGGAGGGGTGATCCACACAGGAGGGTGGAAGGCAGCGCAACCAAATAAAGCTGGCATGCTATGCCAGATGGTCCTTCCCTGTGTCTTCTATGCTCACTGAGAGGTGGGAGCAGGGCAGCGGAGAAATGGAGAGGCTACAGTGTGATTTACCAAAAAAGAATTCCCCAGACTTTTTTAAATTATGGGATTCTGATGTCAAGAACTGAATTAAGATTTTCCAAATCAAAATTAGATTGTATATCCTTCTAAGGTCAAATTATATTGCAAATTAAGAACCTATTTCTGTAAACCCCCTAACATTCAGGATTCTGATTATTTTCTGGTATTTAATATAAAGGCTGAAAATACCACATTACTCTGACAAATGACTTTTTAAACTATTTTTAATTAACAACTGTACAAATTTATTACTACAGTGCTGATATTTCCATGTGCTGTGGACCGATTACCAGTTTAATTAGCATTTCCATTTCCTTAAGCATTTATCATTTCTTTGTGTTGGGTTTTCTTTTTAATATTGATTGACTGGTTGATTGGTTGGTTGATTGATTGATTGAGGTAGTGGAGATTGAACTCGAGCCTTCACACTCAGCTCCCTTTTTTCAAGACAGGGCTAAATTACTACATTGTTAAGTTTCCCAGGGCTGCACTAGATCTTGCCATCTTCCTGCCTCAGCTTACTAGAGTGCAGAAATTACAGGTGCAAGTCGCCATGTATAGTTTCTTTTTTGCCCTTGGTTTTTGAGACCATTCTCATTTTGTAATTCAGGCCAGTCTTGAACTCACTATGTAGCTGTCTTCCCTGGAGCTTGCAGAGATCCTCTTTCCTCAGTCCTGCAGGTGCAGGGATCACAGCCATGTGCCACCATGTCCAGTTCTATTTTCTTTCTTAATTAAATTCCTCTTTTTTAACTGTTACATAAAAACTGTACATATCATTGGGGTAGTGTGATCTTTCAAATACATGTATCATGGCATAATATTTAAATCATGTGAAACACATCTATCTCCTCACTTATCATCCCTTTATGGTGAAAACATTGAAAATTCTATCTTCTAGTTTTCTGAAGCATACAGTGTAAAATCCTCTTTTGTAGTCACCATACTGTAAAATAGTAACCCAAAACTTCTGGCTTCTAACTGCGATATAATAATCATGGGTTAACTTCTTCCCATTCCTTCCTTTCCCCTACTCACTCCTGCTTATGCTAATCACTTCACCCTCAACTTCTGCATAAACGACACCTCTCAGATTCCACATAAGGGTGAGAACACATGGTACTTGTCTCGCTCTGCCTGGATCATTTTGCTTAACATAATGAGCTCTCATTCTATCAATATTGTCACAAATAATAGAATTTTGCACTTTTTATGGTTGAACAGCATCTTGTGTGTGTGTAATATATATATATATATATATTTCTCTTACTCCATTCATCATTTGGTAGACACTTAGGTTGTTTACACTTCTTTGCTATTATAAATAGTACTGAAATCAATATGGTAGCGCAGGTGTCTTTCTTTCTTTTAATGTATTTGGTTGTTACAGGGTCTCACTATGCAGCTTGAACTCATGGTGAACCTCCTGCTTTCAGCCTCCCCAGTGCTGGGATTATAGGCATGCATTACTATGCCCAGACTCTGGTGAGCTCAGCCCATCTTGTGGACAGGACTGGCATGGCATGTGATGCTGGGGATCAAACCACGGTCCCTCCACTTGCTTAAGCTTGCCTAAGCAGGTGCTTTACTCCCCTGAGCTATCTTGCCAGCCCCAGGTCCTTTACTTTCTTTCATTCTAGCTACGACTTGCTTCTCTATCAAATCGAGAAATCATGTCTGTCAAGAACATCCTACACAGGGCTGGGCAGATAACTCAGTAGGATAAGCATTTGCCTGGCAAGTGCAAGGGCCTGAGTTCAATCCCTAGTTCTGCCAAAAACCAGAACATCCCACAGCTTTGTCAGGATCCCCATGGAGCAAATGTGCAAAGGGAACAAAGTGCTTCCTCTCCAATCCTTATCCATCACTTCTGAACATATCCAGGTTGCTGTCTAACTGAACAAAACACCTAAATATGAAGAAGTGTGTAGTTCAACAACTTTAGTTTATCCATAATCACTAGTTTAATCAGTATCTTCATCTTCTTTTTCTTTTTTCAGTACTGGGGATTGAACTCAGGACCCTGAACTTACCGGGCAAGCACTTATTCTACTAAGCTATCTCCCAAGACCCAGTATATTCATCTTTAAAATATTGTATAAGTACATTGTAAATGTGTAAGCATATAACATTATTCCTTGAGCTAACCAAGAGCTATATTTGGTCTCCTTAAAGCATGGATTAGTAAGCTACTTATCTAAGATCTACTCCTGAGTGATGAATTCCTATCCTACCCTGATTCTGGTCCCTTTTGGTAGCACAACCATTTTATCATCACACTCAAAAAAAAAAAAAAAAATTCAGAATCCCTAAGACATATAGCACCTCACTTATCATAAATATCATGAATGTTTTTGAAAAGTTTCTCAAAATAAGACTTAAAAATAACCTTAAAAAATAGCCTTAATAGCCAACATTTTGGCTCTAACCCTTCAAGGTCAGAGAGGGCTCAGGACATAAGAGAACGTGCTCTGTGACATCTTGTAACTCAGAGGTATCCCAAATTTTCTGATCAAGGAGAGTATGGGGCCACAGAGCAAAGTGATCAACGATGTAGAGTGTGCCTAAGGAGAGTTACCTGGAGAGAAAACATTCTCTCAGGCTTTCGTAGAGAGCAAATTGGTCAAGCAATGGCCGTGACTCATCCAGATGGCTGACACTGACAAAAGATCTACAGGGTGCTATATGGTTTCAGGGTAAATCTGGAGGGGATTTGACTGACCTTGTCAGATACAAAAGTTACAATTTTAGTTATATAGGTCATGCTTTAACTTGGTGTTAACCATACAGCAGAAAAGTATAACCACAAGGTATAAAAATCAATGCCATATTAATATGCTGAGCTACAAAAGGCTTAAGTCAACAACTTCTGACAATTGCCAGTTCTGCTGATAACCCACTACTATTATGGACTATTGGACTATACTGGGCTGTTTCACTGAATTTAAGTACCTACAATCTTTAGACTGATTTCAAGTATGAAAAGATCCTTTAAAGACTTCTACAAATACAGCTTCTCTAACAATAATTGAACACCCATCTCTGACAAAACAAAACTAAAAAGGGGGATATAAAGGACCATTTTATAGTGAAAAAAATATCCATATGTACATACAAAATAGTTAGGGTAGCTATTCAGCTACCTTCTATTAGTTAAATGAGAAGAAAGATTTATACTAATATTGTTTAGAGTAGATATCACGTCTGCATCTTGTCCTCTGAATAGCTACTATGAAGACAACAATATGCAATGCATTAATTATTGTAACTGTCCTACCAACCTGTTTGGAAACTTTCATTGCTATTTTTTCTCATTAAAATGAATAAAAATTAAGAAAAAATAGCCTTAGCTTACCAAAGAGAAGTGTTACAAAACCTCATCATGATAATGTGCCACCATTGCAAAATCATTAGAAGCAGCAACCCTAAATAAAGACTAGACCAAGTTTTTGATCCATGATTTTCTCCAATATAGGTTCAGAAAGAGGGAAGGGGGGAAGAAGGGTCTCTCCACTGAGCCACAGATATTTAATGGTCACCAAGGTAGGGCTACAGTTGAAATGAGGACTATGGGTGGAGAATTAGGAAAAAGGAGACCCTATACCACATGGAATGAAAAGGGACTCAAAAATCTCAGAGTAACCAGGTGGGTTGATGCATGTCTGTAATCCCAGAACTCTGGGAGGCTGCAGCAAGAGGACTGAAAGTTTGAACTCAGCCTGGGCAATTTAGTGATGTGGTGAAACATTGTCACCAAAAATATTTTCAAAAGTCTTAATTTGAAGGCCCTGGATTCAATACACACACACACACACACACACACACACACACACACACACAATTAAATGAATTCATGGATAACCTTAGAAACATTACTTAATCTCAAGGGTTCTCTTCCTCTTCATGCAATAAGAAAAACAAACTGAAGATTTTCAGAATTGCTTCTGCTTCTGAAGACCTGAAGAATATAAGAATCCTCTGTAGTGCAAGAGATAACCAAGGAAAACCTAATTAGAAGCATCAAAATTGAAACTGGGTATGACAAGTTAAATGAGGGAAAAGGACTCAGATTCACATTATCATAGGAATTTAAAAAACTGAATGAGTGCTTTCTGGGAATTTTCAATTTCAATCAAAACAATCAATGAGCACTTACGAGCACATGGCTTTAGATTAGTCACCATATAGTACCTCATTTAGAATTACAAACAGAACCCTAGACCTTGAGAAGATTTCCAGTTAATACCGATAAT